CATGGCTTGGTATTTGTTTCTGCAGTGTTTGAATGAATTTTAAGGATTTTGTTTAATTTGGCAGATTGGAAAGGAATGCCTTGCTTGTAGGGAGAGGGTAGCTGTGTTCAACATGTCCTACTTTGCCAAGTTTTATTTGACTGGACCTGACGCACAAAAGGCAGCTGACTGGATTTTCACAAATAATATGGCAAAACCACCAGGTACTAGACAGATTCCTCCTGCATTTTACTGTGTTGTTCTCCTTTGAATGTAATCTTCACCAAAATGTGTTGTTCTAGCTAATTAAAGGAGCAATGTTGAAAAAAAAGAATCATTAGGTAAGAATTTTTTAACAAAATATAAGCTAATGGTTCATTATATAAGCACAAGAATAGCTATTTTAATCTTTATGGTATGAATAACAACTGTCATTCTTGGCCAGTAGATTGTTTTGTGGAGGCAATGGATTTTCTTTTAATCTTTAAGCCAGAAGGCTTGACCAAATCAATAACTGTTATGATAATTACTAAATATTGAATACTTGATAGGGTGCACAACTTACACATGTATGACAAACAAAGATGGTGGCACAGAAGCTGACATCACTGTGAGTGTCTTGGAGAATGGTGATGGATCAAGTATTGTAAAACCAAAATTTGAGGGTAAGCACCATAAGATCTAGTTTATGTTGTAAAATAGGTTGTGGTTATTCATCATGGTAAATAATACTTCAAAAGAGAAATATAATCGTTTGTCTCATGATGTGGTCACTTTGGATGTGGATCGAGTTTATGATCTAGTTTGTCATGAATATTATTTATTGACTTTCTTGATAGCTTTTAATTATACCAGTTGCAAATGACAAGAAAGATTGAGGCTTTAAAGAAAAATGTTAAACATTGTCTTGTTGTGTGGAGGGTAAAGAGGAGAGAGGCTGGGACAGAAGGCTGAGAATTTTCTTCATCCATTGCCCTCTTTTCTCCACACTTTTGACTCTTGTCTTCAGCTCTTCAATGCTAAACACTATCATATTTAAAAATTGACAAATGATGTCTTTTTTGCTTTTTCTACTGCTTCCTGTGTTTTCTCTCCCCTGGTGTCACTTCTTCTCCTGCCCCCCCCTCTCTCTCTCTCTCTCTCTCTCTGCCCTGTGGATTCCAATTCCACCTACTGGTAGTTAACTTTATGAATTCACAGCTAAGACAGAGAATTCAGAGGCACTTTGTTCATATTTGACAAGTTTCCAACACACTGCTAAAATAATCTAATATATTTATCAAACATCTGCAGTCCATGTAGATAGAGAAAATTTTTAGCTATATCTCTTTATGAAGAAAAGAATTCTTAACTTTCAATCAGTGGTTGTTTATTACTCAATGTGTACTTACATGTATGAATGTGAGTTTCACAGCCCCAAATTTATGTAAAATGATGACCTTGTAAGTGAATTACTATCAGAGAATAATGCAGCACAGTATAACTGTGTTTGTAGTTATCATATTTGTAATCAATCTTTATTTGTTAGGTGATGGATTCTACATTGCTGTTGGTGGTGGTATTGGTCAGCATGGTTGGTGTCATGTGCAAAATATTCTTCAAGACCAACAGTACAATGTAAAGTTTGAAGATCATTCAGAGAAAATGGGGATGTTGAGTGTTCAAGGGCCCAAGAGGTATATATTGACACAAAAAATTATTGGTGTTGCTCTGTAACTTACTAGGTAGGTGAGATGATTTTTCATCAAAGATTGCAGTGTGCATTAAAAAAAAGAACGTACCTCTAGGCAATGATGGGGATTGAATCTGGACATTCTGCCTTTTTCCATTTCTTTAAGGGTTCTTGGCAAAAAAAATTAATGACTGCCTACATTACAAGCTCATAGCTCATTTTACTTGCTGTACTCTTTATTTTCAGTCGTGAGCTGCTTCAGTGCCTGACCTCCGCAGATCTCAGCAATGAGGCATTTCCTTTCTCCACGCACAAAATCATCAATGTTGCTGGCCATGATGTTCGCACCCTAAGAATCACTTTTGTTGGTGAACTTGGTTGGGAATTGCACATCCCAAATGACTCCTGTGTACCTGTTTACAAAGCACTCATGGAAGCAGGTATAGAATTTGGTGTTGTGAATGGTGGCTACAGGGCTCTTGACTCACTCAGTGCAGAGAAGGGCTATAAACATTGGCATCAGGATTTACGACATGATGACACCCCACTTGAGGCTGGCTTGGGATTTACTTGCAAACTGAAGTCAGATACCCCATTCCTTGGGAGAGAAGCTCTTGAAAAACAGAAAGCTGAGGGTCTCAAGAAGAAGCTAGTTTGCTTTACTATTGAAGAGTGAGTGAAAGACTTCTGAACATTACAGCTGGTTTCAAATGAGAGAAACTAGGAATGATATTGAATTCTTAGGTTTTATCTATGGTGCACTGTAAGTTACAGACTGAGTTTTTTCTACTTGGATGTATGGGTAATCATACTGTCCACATACATAAAATAATTGAGAGATAGCTAAGAATAGTTGATACACAGGAATTCATTTTTTAAATCAATAGATATAACTTTTAGTGTAAAAAGATGTCCACTGCACAAAGAACTCACTACTTGAAGTGGTAAGGCTAAAATAGGGGTTAGGCCAAAATGGGGGCAAGGCCATGAAGGATACTTTAGAGGGTGAGAGGTTTATCAGGGAGTGAGAAATAAAGGGTAATTCATATTAAATTTTAAACTTCCAATAAATGAATAGGCGTAAAGAGGTTGATCAAGTTTCATTAGTATGGGTGGTAGTTCTTCAAAAGGGCTTGAACCTTTGACCTTCAAGCTCTGTGGTTGAATGCTCTAGAACTCTTGAGTGAGCTTGGCCAAATGTTAAGATCATACACGAGTTAAATGTTGTGAATACTGATTGGGTCAACAGCATTGAAGGTAATTTGTGTTACACTGAAGAAGATGGAAAATAGAATTTGTTTGACCATACCATACTTTTTTATTTTTATTTTTTTAGTCACAAAGCTCTTTTGGGTCTTGAAGCAATATGGCGAGATAATGAAGTGGTTGGTTTCATCCGAAGAGGAGAGTTTGGATATGCTATCGGCAAAAGCCTGGCTTATGGATATGTGAGAGATCCTAGTGGAAAACCTGTCACAACAGAGTTCTTGAAGACTGGAAAATATACCATTGAATCTATGGGAGAGCTATTTCCTGCCAAAATACACCTGAAAGCACCTTTTGATCCAAAAAATCTTAGAGTACAAGGAGTTTATGATGATGAGGCTTGCCCAAGTTATGGCACTGCTTCCAATTGACTCTGATATCATAAAATTGTTGTGCACAATTTTGTAAGATAATATATTTTAGCTGGCTGTCACTATTTTCTTTTTTTTTTTGTGGGGCATGACAAGAGTAAGTAAAACTGACAATTTTCTGTATCTATCTGTTGCAGTTTTTAACTTGTAATATCCAATCACTCTGAGGAGACAAGGAACAATTTATTTGCATGAGCTAAAGTTCATCCAGGCTGTACTATACTATCACTCAAACCCTTAACACATATATTTCAACAAAATCAACACCAAAATCCTTTGTTTTCTAAATTGATGTTGAGTTTTGGTGAATTGCACTAGGTTTTTTACTTAATACAGTGTTATTCTGTGTCTACCTACATGCAATTTCATCTAGTCAAGCCGTGCTTATCTTTTCCATGATGGAAATTAATGTCTGTATAGAACTATATTCCATAAAGTGGCAAATCAGAGAAGGGACTCTCTTTAAGCTAGACCGCCAAACTATCCTAGATTCTTTTAAGGTCAACTTTGTAACACATTTATTTTTTTTTCTTTTGTTTTCAATGTCAAAATTCAACTTTGATTGATTGCGTCTTGATATAATACAATAGAGTAAATGGTGATATTACCTAAAATTGTAAATAGAATACGCAAACATATCTGTCAGTATTGGAGGGGCACATAGAACTGTTTACTCCGTACAAGACAAAAAATAATTAGCTGATGAGCCAGATGGCGTAGTTTTGGGTAAAATAAAAGACAAAGCCAAAGAAAAAAATACTGGTCCTTTTTTATTTTACTCCTTTTGTAACATATGTTTAGTTTGTGCAGTATCATTTAAGGAAATTGTTCACAACTAACTGAACTGAACCCAGTTGAGAAAAGGATGGATAATGCTATCTGGTGGATAATCACAACCCAGTGGATGAGTGGTAATAAAACAAGCTGCACTATCCACCTGATAGAGAGTTATCAAGTGGGTAGCATTATCCACCCCTCAAACATGGTCTTGAACTCTCACAGAGTAACCAGGTCAAAATAAGAATTTCATTCTACTTCCCTTATCCAAATTGCAGCCTTAAAGGATTTGTAACTCTATGGTCAAAGTATGTGGTGTCTCTAAGCAAATATTTAACTGCAAAACCTTTCCCTCTCCAAAAGTTATGAGGATTTATTTCATAATAATTGAAAAGTCAGGTTACATAGTTTAGAGTGTATTCACCACTGAAAAAAATATAAACATCATTTAATGATTAGAAAAGGGTGTCTTGATATACATTACAGGACTCTGGTAAAAATAAAGGAGCAGATGTACTGCTGGATAATAGTTCCCTTTCTTCAATTTTAAAGTTTGGTTTTTGAAATCTGTGAAAAGAAGCTATGGGTAGACCCTAAAGTTGTACTTTTGCTGTTCAATAATAGTCTTTCAGTCTAGAAAAATCCAAAATTTAAGTAGTGGTAATAGTACATTTAATCCTTTTCATCTTAATATCAGTATGCATATTCTCCATACTGTTCTCGATACATTTCCTAAGGTGCTGACAAGGAGGAATTTTGAAACAATTAAGAACTTTGGGGTTAATTATCATAATGGTAGTAATAATTAGAATGCTTTCCATTAAAAAATCTGCATAGGACACCTCCAAGAAAAATTATAAGAAGTTGAAAAATGTCCACTTGTGCTCTGAGAATTACTGTCAAATCCTCAAAACCACAAACACCTGGATATGAATATTAACATGTTCTGACCAGTGACACTGGACATTAGGGCATACAGGTACCAAAAAACAAACCAGACTACTGATGGCAAAACTGTATTGCTTCTTGGAGTAATTTTGGGAAGACTTCGGTACAACCCCAAACTATTCTAAAACAAAGCTGTTGTGCCAAAGGTAGTCTATTGTTTTAAGCCGTCATTTTCATAATACACAAACCGTATACATAATGATGTATGGAAAAAAACAACCACAAAATACTTATTTGCTGTAAAATCTTTTGAAACTCATTCCCAGGGAGTTCTCAAACTATCATCTGGTGTACTCCTGAACATGCTATAACCCTTGCTAGGAATAGCTACACAGAATGAAGGGAGCAAATTTCTAAAGAAACTGTGGAGCTGCCTCACTATGAGAGAATAACAGGGTAATTTAGTGTTGTCAACTGAGTTGATAATTTAAATTGACCACCACAAATAGTTTAAAGGTTGACGTTTCGAGCTCTGATGAAGGGCTGATGCTCGAAATGTCAGCCTTTAAACTCTTTACAATGGCCACTTTCCATTATCAACTCAGTTGATAACACTAAATTACCCTCATAGCTACATAGAATTGACCAAAAGCAGTCCCAATCCCTCTGGCAAAGCCACTTTCACCCTAACATCTCACTTCTATGATCCCAATATCAATTCCCTTTCCTGTCTGACATACCTTTCTTACAGTTTCACCACTGAGTAATTGGAGTTCAGTTGAACTAAATCTACCAAGAGGAACATTTCTTTCTTCCCATCACATTTTCATTTGAAATAGATCTGATTTTTAAAAAAGAAATTTATAATTGATCACTCCTGGGAGTGACAAGGTGGAAAGAGAAAATAATTCCATTTAAGAGTATGAAAAGTCATCATCACAATTAACCTTAAAGAGAAAGAGAAAAGGATCAGGATCTGTTTTCACCACTCATGGACTGAAACTGTTTTTTCAGGGTTGACCTTGAGGTAAGATGCATTACTAATATTTTAGCTTCTAGATTCAGTTTGCATGTAATTATGTGGCAGACAAACCAGAGTTAAACCACAATTCCTGGTCAAAATGTAGGCCACATCAGCATCAATATAGCCTAGCAAGACAAGAGACACCCAAGTTCAAAGATCATCTTTTTGATGAATGAAGGAGTTCCACTAAGGAATCACTTGCTTTGATCTGTCCAGTAAGATTCAACATGAAAAGGCGTTCTAGGCTCTTGGTGCCAATTGATCTCAGCTCAGGTAATCTTAGAAGAATGTTTCCAAATCGATTAGGTTCATTAGGGTGAAAGTTGTTGTTGTACTCCAACAATGATGCATGCACTTTATCCTGCAGTCTTTCAACCAGTTGTTGATCCAGCAGACCTTTCACATCTGAGCATGGACAAAATCAAAATGAACATAATTAAAATGACATTGT